TGCACTGTAATGCCTGTAGCACATCTCAGCGATAGGAATGTTGAGCATAAGGAGAAGAACTACCACTGAAGAGAGAGGAAGGTGCGCAGCATGTAAGGAGGATTCTGTGGGTCAGTGCTGGGGTCTGCCGAGGGACTGAAGCCAAATTTGGCCACTCTGAAGGACTAAGGAGCCACGGCATGGTTGCTGGTGTTCTACACAGATTTGCAGCTTGTACATCCATTTGTGCCTTGTCTAAGGTGTTGACGTCAATCAGTCCAGAAAGATGCAGGAGTTGACGTTGTCTTCCTCTGTACTGAGCCATCAACAAAACAGGATGGATGATGGACTCTCCTTTCCTTGGGCAGTTTTGTACATCTATTTCTCTTCCCCTCACTTTTTATTTAAAGCAGAAACTGTTCAACAAATCTGCCCACATGGATCTACACAATTGATGATGCAAATGTCAATTGGTGAAAAGAGGGCTTAGAAAAGCCCTTCTCAAGTCCAGTAGAGAAGCAAATGCTTACAAAGGGCTAAAATGGCAGATGTTTAGGTTTCTTTTAATAATTTATGGCCTACAAGTGCCCAAAAGGCTTGGAATCATGTCTGTGAATTTCAGAATTCATGTGCTGTGAGTTTTAGACTTGGGCAATTCAAGATCTGACCCAAGATCATGCTCCTTAAAAAGGTAGTTCCTTCAGAAAAGGAAAGGAAAAACAAGTGTATACTAATGTTTTTGACTTGTCTTGTGTCCAGATCAAGACAGGGGAATAAGATACTTTCTCTATTGGAAGACTCACACAAAAAGAGTCACTGGGGCAGTTAGGCCCTTTAAAAGTCAATTAGACTGTGTCATAGCAGTTGGTGTAATTGAGAGAAGGGCCCTGTTGAGGCAAAGAAGAAGTTGGGCTGCATAACCTTGTTATTTACTTCTGTCTTTGCTCCTATAATAACACAGAAAAGTCTGATTTATCCATAATTAGACTCTTCCTGGCTCCCTTTGGCTGATGGCAACTGAGATAATCAAGGATCTGAAATTAATGACTTTAGAAAGACTGCTTATCACCTGGGTTCAGATTTACTTAGGCAGATGAGGGAGCTAAATCCAGATTTCCCATCTCTCCTTGTTGCAAGGAGAAAAAGGTAACAAAAAAAAGGGGGGAAAAAAAGCTTTTTCTACGTAAATAATTCCATTACTGAGATACTGAGAAACTTTAAGCTGTTCTTCCAGAATGGTGATTTACTCCTTAAACCAGAGGAAAAATGGAGGCCTATATTTAGAAGGGCAGTGTTTCTACCGACCTACAGACACTGATCTTGCATAAATGTAGAAGTAAATGAACTGAGATATGACAAAAATACATAGTGCCTATCTGAGATCAGGAGTTGGGGAGTCTGGAAACGATTAAATTTGCTCAGGGAGTCTAAATATATTAGGTCGAACATCAGTATCTCAAAGCAAACAGAGGCGAGATAAAAAGACAGAGCAAAACTTAAAACTACATTTCATTCACAGCAATTCATTGTTACCAGACGCTCACTGATGAGCTCTAAACATCTAAAGAATCAGGAACAAGTTCCTTGAAATTGCAGTTGCGAAGTCTCTAAACTGCCTGTTTTCAAATGAGCACTGACTTCCTCCCTAATCAATTTTACTGAAGTCAGAGGAATTAGACAGGGGCTTCGTTCCTCCTTTATATCTCATACAAAGATGCCACTCAGCAGTTTTTGTGGGGAAAATGGCATTTTAAAGCATTAAAGTGGGACCATAAAACTGGCGTGCTTTTCCAGAACAGGCAAATGCAATGTTTGCAATTTGAAGACCTTCTAGCAGTCTTTGCCATTGCAATTACTGTCTCTTCAACCCTGAACACCCCTCTACAGTCAAATTTCAGTGAAAGGATAAACAAAAGTGGGACGTGAACTGGGAGCAAAACTTTGCTGATGGAGACGGGCGCTGAACTAGAATTCATGGCAAAACAGCCTCCTTGGGCAATACATTTAAATGCATTTTATCCCAAAATGAGGGAAGGCTGGTAGATTTCTTGCTTGGACTCCGTGATGTTTCAAAGAAAAAGAAGCCTTGTGATGGTTAGTGTTCCCTTAACTAGCCCACAGGTGACAAAGGCACCTAACATGAGTCAAAATAGGCTGATGCTGACATTGAGGCTGATTACTAAGAAAATTAGGAAAAGAACATCAATCATGTTCCAGATGCTCAGCATGTGAAGAGCAATGGGGCAGGCCAGTGTGAGGCTGAGTCTTCCACAGACCATTGGCAAACAACCTTTTAGTCCAAAAAAGAAAAAAAAAACTAAGGAAAGGATGATCAACATCTGATGCCTCAAAGTAATGGTAAATGCAAACGCATTTTTATTTAATACCCAAAGTCCCCCAAGCATCTGAGAAAAAACGTACCACTGACCTCACTACTCCTTTCCAAAAAAATGGAGCTAGGAATTTCTAACCAGTGGCACAGCCAGTTTATATAAATTATATATAGAGAGCAGGCGTATATGCAAAGGATAGCTACAGTCTGGGATCCCAGCAGTAATAAATACTCTACCCACCCAAAAAGCTGTCATGCTGCATTGTGTGAAGTTTTAGATAGGATGTGCCTTTCACATGACTAATGCAAGAACAATGAAGACAACATATGTTATGATTTAAACTACAGTTGTCCTTCTTTCTGAGGGGAAAAACAAGCACATTTTTGCCAAACAAAACCTGAGCGTGTTGCTTGTCCAAGGCTTAACCCTGCAATCTGCTAGGTCTGGTAAAAGCCCTGTTCACTATTATTTATAAACAGAAAACAGTGATATGAGGGAAATAAGGAAAGAGAATATGAGATTGCAATATGTCTTTATACAGTATTTTCCAGGTTCTGGACACATGGTTTACTACTTCACCTGACTTGTGGTGGCTATCTGGGTACATGCTCTTAGCCCGCAGCAAATTTAAACAAATTGAGCCTATTTACTGCTTAGCCTAAGGCTAAACTATGTTGCTTCCCATTGCCACTAAGCAAGAGCACCCAGATAGCAATTGCCATAGCCATTGCATGGTGGAAACTCCCAGCCTGTACCAACAACATCACCAGTGACACAGAGAAGGTGAACCGTGGTCGCTTGTTCAAGAAGGAGAAGGCAGCAAAACCACCCACATTAACAGGATTCTGCTGTCGTGCAGCAGAGAGCAAACCCGTGGGACTCATCACCAAGGGATGCCATGGGTGCTAAATGTCTCCTGCAGAGTTTGGGCAAGCACTTGACTGAGAAAATTTGCTGAAAGTTACTTAATGGACAAAACTGATATCCAGCTCAGGAGATGCCCGGAGCTACGTCTAGTAAGATGCAGAGGGTCAGGGAAGGATTACACAAACTCGTCCAGTTCCTCTTCCTCGGGCACCCAAGGATGCTACTATTGGAAACAGCTGCTGGGCTCGACAGACCCTTGGTCTGACCCAGTTCTCATCTTCCTACATCCCAGCCTGTTCGCATGACTGAGCCCTAAGGATCAGTTCTGATCCGGTGGGTGTAGTTCATTCTGTTAGCATGACCCATCACTGGGGAGCCACAAAGCCTCTTGAGGAAAATGTTCTTTTTGTAGACATTTTAGCTGGTAATATATTTGAAAACGAGTTTGCAAGTCCGTGTTGATTTCTTGCTGCTCTCAAGAGGACATCTGGACCACCCTTGCAACTGCAGAGATGCTTGTTTGCTGAGCTAAACCACTGGTGGATATTTTGATAACCCTTTCTGTTTTAGCATCTAAACTGCAGATTCAAGGAATAAGTGGCAACTAAAATCGGATAAAACCTTGCTCCCTTGCTACGTTCAGCACTGGCTAAATAACATGATATTACACAGGTTAATCAACTAAATTGTCCTGTGTTGTGGGAGTGCTAGATACGGTCCCAAAGCTTACAGTGGGTGAGAATAAACAGCCATGTTAGGTGGATGGTTGTATTTCCCATATTTCACAATAGACGGGCTACATTAAGATTTCTGCTCTTTTTTTTTTTTCTTTTTGAATAAAAATAAGGAGTCAAGCTTCCAGTGGGAGAGTGTGGTTCAGAGGTAGCATTTTATTAATATTGCATGAGATGCAGCCTTCCCCATCTGCCAGAACCTGGAGAATTCAAGAAGACGATGGCCAGGACGTGTCCCTGCTGACATACAACCCCAGCCCAGCCATAAGCCAGCTGCCTTAGTACAACCAGGTAACAACTGAGTAGTCCTGCTCCTATTCCTCCCAGAACTTCTATAAATACTGCTGCCCAAACCACCTCGTTAATACTGACTCGGGCAGGTCTATGTGAGCCATCAAGCTTCAGTTTTGGGCTGCAGTAAGGGCTTGCCATTAGCAAGCAATCCATTGTTAATGCAAGATCATCTCTTTTAGGTGAAGATGGGATGGGATGAGATGTCATCACAGCAGCATGACTGATGCATTTGTTACAAGATGCTTGTTGGTACCTGAATAACAGCAAAAGTGACTGTGACAGTGGTACCGAGTGCTGCTCTGCGGTTTGTGAAACCGGTTAGGACACCCAGCAGATGGGAAACATCAGAATCTCTCTCAGCAGGGCACTGCACACTCACCGTATGATGCAGTGATTTTGATAAAGGCAGACATAGATCTTTGTTTCTGTCTTTTAAAGCTCACTGTGTTATGCTGGGCTGCGTTACCCCACGTGTCAGTGTCAGACTCATAGCACTGAATTGCTAAGAAAGTGCCATGCTGGCCTGTGAAAAAGGTATTGCATTAACAGAGTCGGTGTGCTGGGATAACAGGCTGGGTGGCTTTGCCTTGCAGGAGATGTCATTACTCGTGCTGCAGCGGCGGCTGTAAGCTCTGTCTGAAGCTGGGGACTCGTTAGAGCAGATACAACACCAGCACATGGGGAGATGTTCTCCTGCGTGAAGGGGCTATGTCTACACAGACAAGGAGACATCCCTTCCTCCAGTAAAAACATCGTCCCAACCTCTCCCACCCTCCCAAGTCTCTACCCTGACCTTTGTTGTCGTGCCAAATCCGCACTTTGCAGAGGTCTCCCAGGCTCAGCATGTCCGAGAAGTTAAATTCGTCCATCTGGTTCCTCTCAAACTTGTTGGACTTATTGGACTCCTTCAGAGCCAGGGTCCCGCTGTCCCCGTTCTCCCCAAACAGGATCAAGGACACGTTGGCGTCGGTGCCTGCTCCTGGAAGGAGAGAGAAAGGCACATTGTCACGAGATGGTCTGCCACATAGGACTGATGCCCAGACCCCAGCAAAGGCAGGGCTGAAGAGGCTGCAGAGATGCTCAGGTTTCTCTGTGAATTTCTGTGAATTTGTGGAGGATCCTGCAAGGAGGACACCCCATGGTAGCTAACAAGGCAGCCCATCCAGCCCATCCCCCAAATACAGCTGGAACGCTTCGCCCTTGTGTTCAAGGAATGGTGACCGTGATGGCAGCAGCACTAATCGGAAGCAGGAGCATCTGCTCCGGATGGAGCACGGTGCATCACGTCCCTTTGCAGAGGATGTCAGTGTCGTGACTCCCATTTTTCCCAGATGGCTTACGAAGCAAAGTGAACTACCCTGCAACATTCAACAATCTACAAAAGAGTTTCAAAGAACATGTTTTAACTTTTCTAGCTACAAAGTATTAGTATGCATTGTCCTGGGCTTCCCACAGGGCCACAGTTTCTGTGGTCCCTGTTTCACACTGTGGTCTCCTTCTGCAGTCCCACAACCTCCTTCAAGCTGTCCCGTGGCACCCAGGACATGTTGGTTGAGGTCTGTCTCGTACGGCTCTCCCTGTGTTGTGGAGCACAGGGATTTGAAAGCAAAGTGCAGATCATCAACAAAACCACTACGGCATCTTGTGGCTCACTTTCCCCTTCCATAGGCCCTCCTTCCGTGTTCCTGTTTCTCCAAATACTGTCCATGCTTCACTGAATGGAAAAAGTCTTAGTTTCTCATACAACAGTATGCCCCACCTCTTCTTACGTATATGTCAAAAAAAGAATAATTTTTAAGATGATCTTTATTACCTGATATTAAATTTCATACGCTCGATACTATGTACATTTTGTCCCAGAAAACAGCTATCCTGTCAATTTTCCTGACTTTTGGAGAGTTCAAGGCCAAACCATCACCTGCAAGTAAAAATGTTCTGATGCTTTCAGCTAAAATGTTAGTAAGTGTCACAACATTTTTACCTGGCGCTATTGATAATTTGACCAAAATTATTGCTTTTTGGTTTTGATGTCATAATAAAAAGGCAGATGCATAGAAAGAAATTTGATCCCACGTGGGCAGATGTTCATTGCTATGTCAGAAACAAAGCCCTTGAATTTTGGAAAACGAAAATGAGATCATCAGACCCAAATCTGTCTTACAAAGAATCCCAACATCTGCTGCCCTCAGTTAGATAGCCCAGCTTTTGAAAACTCCAACGGCCTGCCAAGCCATTTTTTACTCAAGAGTATCATAAATCCTCTTTGGGCCACACGGATGGTATTTCCCACAGCTCCATTCACAACACAATGCAGAGACAAAGTTGGGGGGGGACCGAAAACTTTTTGAGAAAGCTACCACTTCTTCGGGATAATTATTTGAGTACAGAAATAAGCAAGAAATCACAACTCTTCTCACAGAAGGACTGAAAAAAAATATTAAAAGAAGGAAATAAAGAGGAGAAAAAGACTCGTACAGAGAAAAGGCAAAGCAACATTTGGTGTCCACGTGAAAAATTGCCTATGTTAAATTGGGGCTAATTTTCAGCCGTTCCCTGGGAAGGACTTCAGAAGGAAGAAAAAGCATCAGGGATTCAGGCAGTTCATCTGGCAGTACCTTTTATGACCTCAAAGCTTGCTGAGGTGAGGAACAAAGCAAACTAAAGTCCATTTCCTTACAAAGAGCAGGGTCCCAATTAATGCAAGGTCTCGAAAAGCACAGAAACAACTGTTTCTTAGCAAAACCTTCCCCGCAGGAAGAAGCTTATGAAGGTCTCATGCCGTGACATTTCCCTCACAAGCAATTAGCAGATGAGAAAGAAAAGAACAGAGACTACCAAATCAATGTACATTTTACCTATTTGTGTGTCTCTCTGGTTTTGGGTTTTTTTTGGTTGTTTTTATTTTTTTTTGTTGGTGTTGTTGTTAATTCTCGGAAACTGTCAGGCACATTTAGGAACTGTTACAAATTTGACAAAAGAAGAGGTGAAGGTACTGTGGTTGCACAAGCCTTAACTGGCAGCAAGTGCAATAGCTCATGGGTCAATACTGGGGTCTGCAGCACTGAACACCATCATCAACACCCTAAGCAATGACAGGGTGCATCCTCAGCAGATTTCCAGGTGAGAATAAATTTGGTGGAGTGACTGACATGCTGAATAGCAGAATTCCAACCCAGATGGACCTTGAGAAACCTGAGGACTGGGTAAGCAGAAATCTCATGATGTTCAGCAAGGAGAAATGGAAAGTTCTGCATCTGGGGTGGAACAAACCCTGCACGTATATGTGCTGGGGAGTTGAAGAAGACCCAGAGGTCATAGAAGAAATGTTCATATTCAGGTTGGATCTGAGCTAACAGCAAATGCTCAGTGTTGAGTGCAAACCATGTATTGGGCTACGTCAGGAGGACCATGGCCAGCCACTGAAGGGAAGCTCTTATCCCCTTTGCCCAGCACTGAGGAGCCCATATTTAGACTATGGTGCCAGTTTGGGTCCTTGGGTCATGTCGAGACATTGAGAAGGGCTCAGCAGGTGGTTGCCAAGATGGACAGGAGCCGAGGCCCAAAACCATGAAGAAAAGCCAAGGGAGATGACCTGGCGCAGGTGAACAAGGACCCCTGGACCACATGGAGGGACAGGGATAATGACGACAGGCTCATGTGCTGTGGAGATATCAGACCATACCCCAAGGAGCCACAGCCATAAATTCCTGGGGAGATACAGGCTGAGCATCAGGAAAAAAAAATAGGAAAATGGTACAGGTCTGGATCAGGTGCCTGGGGAGGTGATGACTTCACCATCCCTGGAGATGTCCAAGACTCGTCTGGACAGAGTCTTAGTTGATCAGACTTAGTTCTGGTAATAATCCTTTGAGCAGGAATATGGATGAAATAACCTCCAGAGGACTCATCCAACAAAAGTGTCTGTGATTTTATGACTCTTATTGGGCAGTTGCATAATTTTTAAACAAACTGCAGGCTTGAGTCACAGCCTTTCGAGGTCAAAGAATGTCCTCCTTTTGACTTAACAAAGACTTGGATAAGGCTCTAGGAACTGACACCAGCTCTCCTAAATTATGCAATTTGTAGGCTACAGCTGAGCTGGCAACATAATAATTAATCTTAAAACATTAGAGATAAAAACCTCCTTCTTCACTAACGCTTGGAAGATGAGAAAGCAGTATTTACTCTTTCTCCATCTTTATTGCATTACCATGTATATGATGTCTGCATGTAGAGTACAGAAAGTCTGTGTAAATCAAAATTAACTGGCGAGGACATGTTTGTGCCACAGAAAGAGCCATCAGGTGCCTCAGCTCCATTGCAGCTGCATATGTGGGTCATAGGTTCAAGAAAATAAGATGGTGTTTTACTTCTCTAATAAGATCAAAAGTAAATAAAGATCTTGGTTCTAACCAAAGATCCTCCATCTGGCTTGGAATGTGCCTGCCAAAACAGCCTCTTCTCCCCTTATCTGCATGTTCTCTGAGAGCTGCCATCTGAGGTATTTCTGGTGGCCTCCGGATTTGACCTTGGGAAGGGAGGAGATTTGACCTTCACAAGAGAGGAGTCTCTCCTTGGTGCAACCACTGTATATTACATGATTATCCAGGTTCAATGACTTCTGGAAAGCCAAACTGTTTCTTTGAGGAAAAATTAAAATGAGACTGCTGTTGAATATGTGTGTGCATGTTGGGGAGGAAACAATTGCTGCTTTCTAGCTTACTGCAGGACATTTTTTGTGGGATTCATTTTCCCTAGCTTTAGCCATCTTGCCTAACTTAATTGTGCTGGCTCTGTCTGAATCTGATGAAGACAGAGTAACAGAGACCCTCCAGAGGATGATCCAGACTGCTGATTAAGTGATTAAGACTCCTCTCCCAGATGAATTGACCAGAGACAGTCTAGACTAAAAGGAGTTAAGACCACTTAACTCACGATTTTTTTGAGAATGACAAATAGGTGAGATGAATCCTACTCTACATTTTCTTTCTTTCTTCTTTTTTTTTTTTTTGTTTCAACGCTTCTGGTGCACTGACAAGTTGAAAGTTATAACATAGGAAAACTTCATACCTAGAAACAAACATATCTGATTTTATTCACTGGGGAGCATTGCTGTCCTTAGATACTGTCAGTGTGGTAGGAGATGATATAACATGTCTAAACCAACCGTCAAGGGTAAAATGTCTGTTTTTCTGAATTGGTCCAACCAGGAGTAATCGTGGAATACATAATGATGAAAGAGGGGAGATGGTTCATGACTTGTACCCTCTTTAGATAAGCTGGATAAAGTTCAGCATTATGTCAGTGCACTGTGTGATCTAATCATAAACAGACTCTCTGAAATCTCTCTGTAATCTGCCCTTTCCTACTGGTTCTCACTGTTCACAATAAAATAAAATGTTTCCTCATTAATACCCGTCATCCTTCGTTCAATGGGAAGGGCAGATCTGTCTGCTGTTGCTGTCATCTTCCATTCTCCTCTCGTTTCTATTTCCATCGCCTTTGTGAGTTAGGGCTGGATTTCACAAAAAGGTCACAGAAAGATCCACCATTATACTAGATGGATTGCCAGATACATAGACAAATCTTCCTCTCTCTCTTTTGTTTTTTATATTTCACTACATGTTTTTCAGACAAGCAGCAGGCAGAGCAGATAGATTAAAAATGGTGAGGTGGCACGAAGACACTCCACCAGAGGAGTTTTTATATTCTCAGATCAAACCTCACAAGCTGCATAAATTGCCACTGGTAAATCCAGGGGGTGGGGGTGGGAGGAAGAAAGAAGAAAGAAAAAAGAAAGAGAAGTAGAGATCAGGAGGTGATTATGTGCACTGGTGTGGCAGAATCTCCTTTAAGAGTCAACCTGTCAAACAAGGTGTCTGGAAGACAATGTCTAACTTGCCCAATTTTGGCACAAGGCAGCTTGTCTGTGGTTGCAGGTTTCATTCTGCAGCCTGACAGAAGTTCTCATGAAAAGAGGCAGTGATCCCAGGAAATGACATAGAAATCCCATTTCTTGGCTCTTGAAGCTCTGCAGCTTTCTTTATACTCTGTTCCACCTCTTCTATCTGGTGTGCATTTAGGGATGGTTTTTCATGGCCTGAGATAAATGGTCTCAAAACACTTTGAAAAAGAGGGTGAATTATTGCTCCTGTCTTTGGCCAAAGTAGATGGTGTTAGCTGATAACCTGGAGCCCACCAGCTTTGACTGTAGCCTTTTTTTCCATCCTACATGGATGAACTTGACCAAAAAAGTCAAAGGGGGCTCCTGACCACTGCAATAGCTTCTGTTGAGGTGCCTTCAGAGGAAACAGTGAGCAGTCAAATCTAGGCTTTGTATCTAAATATTTTATGCAAAGTGCTCAGATGGGGATGAATCCCACAGCATAACAGTCATGACAAACAGACAACCAAAAAGGAGGTATTCCAGCATAGTAGGGTTAAATTACACTTTTTTTAACATAATATCAGATTAAGCAGAAGATGTTTTCCATTGCTAAAAATCAGTCTTTATATTAGAAAAGTCATAAAACATCCACCAAGACCTTACCTCCAACATCACTGGTTTTAACCTGAAGAGTGTACGTTGTGTCCTCCATCATCTGCTCGTCATTTATCACAGCTGGCATCTCACACACAAGACTTCCCTTGGCATTTTTCAGCTTTGATAGCCACTCACCATAGGTAAATGTAGCCACTTCTTGATTGGTCAGGTTCTTAAGGATGATCTGTGAAGAGCCAAAAGAAGGAAAAAAACTTCAGCTAAACTTCAACTACCAGCTGAATAAAGGCAAAGATCAAACCTATAAAGTGTACGGTGTGGTAGGATATGAGTAGACCTTAGTCATTTCTTCAAAACCTGTACTGAGCTCTTGTGGGCCAAACGGAGCCCTCTGCTATGGACAATGTTTGCAGTGGTGACTTGTCCTAGGAAATGGTCTGCGCAGTAGCTGACCTTTTCAAATATGTGTTAAAGCCTAGGAAGAAATTTGCTCCTCTGACATAAGTTATGGACAAAATTCATCTCTAAGAGAGTCAGACCTTTCCTGGAAGCCAGTATGGAATTAAGTTTAAAGTAGTAGTGACAGAGAGTTACTGAAAACCTCACTACCTCTGCTTGAAGTACACGGTATCATTCTTTTGCCTGCCTCCTCTCTGCAAACACGCAGCTATCAGTGTAGACATACGCAAACCGACCCCAAACAAGTTAAAGCAACGCACAAGACAAAATTAGGCCAGCAAAACTTAACGCTTCACACTTTTCTCCCTCTGGGAAAAGGTGACAGAACAAACAGTAGGCAACAGATATTAGTCACTCTGTCTAATGTGTCACGGGAAGGAGCTCAGACGCTGTGGTGATAAGAACAGAATAGGAAACTACTTAGAGCAAGCCACTGAGATACTCCAGCAAACACCTAATAAACTACCCACCTTTATGTGTCCTGTTCAATATGGGCTCAGAGGAGCATCTGTCTACTGGGAAAAAGACATTACACTTGCCTACAGCAAAAACACGGCAGTAAATTCTCACTAAATTGGGGGAGTTGGAGGGAAAGGAGGAGACAGGGCTGCAAATTACCATTTCTGTTACCATCTAACAGAAACAGAGACGATACCTGAGTGAAGCAGTGCATCAAGAAACAGCGTCTTGCAAGGCCCATCTCTGCGAAGGCCACAGAAACATGAGCCCAGACATGCCAGAGAAGAGCAACATGATGTTAGGAAGAAAAGAATCATGGAGGCATGGAAAATGTTGAGTTAAAAGGGACACCTGGAGGTGTCTAGTCCCACCTCCTGCTTCAAGCAGGGCTAACTGCAAGGTCATGTCCAACTGAGTTTTGAAAGCCTTCAAGGGTGGAGATTCTCCCAGCACTGTGGGCCTCCATCCTAGATCTGCATCACTCTCATTGGGATGACTTTTTTTCTTCATACCCAGTCAGAGTTTTCCTTGGTGCAAATTGCGTCCATTGCCTCATGCCCTTTCACTGTTCACCTCTGAGAAGAGGCTGAATCAATGGTCTCTCTAACCTCCCTTTAAGCCCCAGAAGACTGCAATTAGATTCCCCCTTAGCTTTTTCTTCTCAAGGATTAAAAACTCCATTTATCTCAGCCTTTCCTTGTATGCCATATGCTTCAGCCGTTTGACTATCTTAGTGACCTTCTGCTGCACTCTCACATATCAGCCTAAGAAACTTATAAAACTTATCTTGAGATAAAATGTGCTCAAATTCTGTCCTGAAACAGCATGTGTCCCAGTCCATGCACTTCTGTTGAGCCCAACCAGGATTTCCCAGAGCCTTTCAGCAGTTCAAAAGAAGAGCATTGCTCCAGGTTATAAAAAAAACGATTTTAAAGAGGGCAGTAGCCACACTGAAGCTGAAGCAGTAGCCGTGGTATTTGTGCAGTGTACTGTTCCTTGGGTAGGACACTCATACGGGGTTTTCTCTCTGCCTGATGCTAAACAGGGATCTGTAACACAGCACCTTCATCCCAGAGATACGGGACATTTTGGGCTGTTGAAGCTGTCCCACTTTAGTAAAAAGCTTCTTATTCACAGCTGGTGACATTATTACTTTGTGGTCACAGAACTGCTCCGAGTCAAGAGATGTTGAATCAGATCTTTGCTTTCAACCAAGGAGAAATCAGGTCTCCACCACCCCAGCTGGTGCCCTCTCCACTGGGGTGTCGACCAGAAGGACGTCTCCTCTCTCAAGGACTCATGAACAATGTCTATATCCTCTTAGGATTTCAACTGAGAAACTTTTCTTTGGCTAAAATTTGAATTGTGGATAATCTCAGGTTGACCGAAAATGTTGTTTTGTTTTGTTTTATTTTGTTTTGTTTTGTTTTGTTGTTTTGTTTTCCCCTTGGTGCATAAACTCTTTACTGGAGAAGGTTCATCCAGCTCTACCTCTGCCCTGCTTGGGAGTGACAGTGACACTGTTAGTAGCAAAATGTCCTGAGCAAAGCTCGTGTGTTCAGAGAAGGACAATGAAGCTGGTGAAGAGTCTGGAGCACAAGTCTTACAAGGAGCAGCTGAGGGAACTGGGGTTGTTTAACATCTTTGTTGGTGACATGGACAGTGGGATCGAGTGCACCCTCAGCAAGTTTGCAGATGACACCAAGCTGTGTGGTGTTGTGAACACGCTGGAGGGAAGGGATGCCATCCAGAGGGACCTTGACAGGCTGGAGAGGTGGGCGTGTGAGAACCTCATGAAGTTCAACAAGGCCAAGTGCAAGGTCTGGCACGTGGGTCGGGGCAATCCCAAGCACAAGCACAGGCTGGGCGGAGAATGGATTGAGAGCAGCCCTGAGGACTTGGGGGTGTTGGCTGAGGAGAAGCTCACCATGAGCCGGCACTGTGCGCTGTCAGCCCAGAAAGCCAACCATGTCCTGGGCTGCATCCAAAGAAGCATGGCCAGCAGGTCGAGGGAGGGGATTCTGCCCCTCTACTCTGCTCTCATGAGACCCCACCTGGAGTACTGTGTTCAGCTCTGGGATCCTCAACACAAGAAGGACATGGAGCTACTGGAACGAGTCCAGAGGAGGGCCACGAAGATGATCAGAGGGCTGGAACACCTCTGCTATGAAGACAGACTGAGAGAGTTGGGGTTGTTGAGCCTGGAGAAGAGAAGGCTCCAGGGACACCTTCCAGCAGCCTTCCAGTACCTAAAGGGGACCTATAAGAAAGCTGGAGAGGGACTTTTTACAAGGACATGTAGTGATAGGACAAGGGGCAATGGCTTTAAACCGAAAGAGGGGAGATTTAGATTAGATCTAAGGAAGAAATTTTTTACATTGAGGGTGGTGAGGCACTGGACCAGGTTG